TCTGTATTATTGGGCCCACACATCAGGCGGGACACACGCTAGATCTGATTTTCAGCGCAGGAATTCAAGTGACCCAAGCCTCTACTATAGAGGTTCCACGGTCGGATCACTGTGCTCTGAGAGTCCGGTTGGAGCACGCCTACCCACCCTGCAAAGGTGCCGAGCCAATGTGGGCTCGCCTTAGGAGACTTATGGAACCCAGTAGGTTCCAGAATGCTCTGAGGGATCTAGAGCCTGCTAGCGACTCGATCGATGTGCAGGTGGACACATGGAACATCAGGCTATCCAATGCACTTGACGAGATTGCCCCTAAATGCCCTCTCTGACCCCGCCGAAATCAGTCTCCTTGGTTCACCGAGGAACTTCAACTGATGAAGCGGGAAAAAAGACTGCTAGAGGGCGTGTGGCGAGAACTCCGTGACGGAGCATCGAGATCAGCTTATGAGGCATTTAGGGAATCTTATGAGCTTGCTATCACCGAGGCAAAGTGAGTATATTATGCTTCTTTGATAACGTCTGCTAGCTCACGCCTGGCAAAATTGTTCAAAATAATTCTATCTCTAACGATGGTTCCTACCGTCCCAAAAAGCAGTGATCACGCCTCTTCAGCCGAGGATTTTCAGAGCTATTTTGCAGACAAGATCTCGCTACTTTGCCGGGACTTCCCTGCCACAATTGATACAGTGAGAGAATTTGAGACTCCGTGGCCACTTGCTGGGCCCGTCCTCGACCGGTTCATCCTGCTGGACGCAGAGGCTGTCGATAGGCTCATAGCTGCAGGTAGACCGATCACTTGCTCCCTTGATCCATGTCCCTCTTGGTTGGTGAAATCCTGCTTGGAGGGATTACGTGACCCTCTGTTGAAGATCATAAACAGCTCCCTTGAGCAAGGAGTTTTTCCAGAGAGTTTAAAAGAGGCGATGGTCTCTCCCCTGCTGAAGAAACCAGATTTAGATCCTTCGGTTCCCTCCAGTTACTGCCCAGTTTCAAATCTCTTGTTCCTGGGCAAGGTGATTGAGAGGGCAGCAGCGGAGCAGTTGCAGCAATTCCTAGACGACACAGCCGGACTAGATCCCTTCCAGTCTGGCTTCCGTGCGGGGCATGGGACAGAGACTGTGCTGGTCTCCATCACGGATCACCTTCGATGCCAGCTTGACCAGGGCGGGTCAGTGCTGCTTGTGTTATTGGATCTCACAGCACCATTTGACACAGTCGACCACAATCTTTTGACCCACCGCCTTGCTGTTGCTGGAGTCAGGGGGACAGCTTTAAACTGGTTGTCCTCCTTTCTTCACAACCGTGGACAGCGAGTGGAGAGGGGAGGCCTGGTCTCTGAGAGGTCCCCTCTATCTTGTAGGGTTCCTCAGGGGGCCATTCTCTCCCCTCTGTTGTTTAACATCTATATGCGACCACTTGCTCAGCTGGTTCGAGGTTTTGGGCTTGAGTGTTACCAGTATGCTGATGACACTCAGCTTGTGCTGAAGATGGAAGGCCGACCGGACTCTGTACCCGATTGTTTCCATCAGTGCCTCGAGGCCGTTACTGGATGGCTGTGTACCAGCAGGTTGAGGGTGAATCCAGCAAAGATGGAGATCCTATGGCTGGGTCAACCGGGCAGTGGGGATATCCAGCTGCCTACCCTGGATGGCGAGGCGCTACGCCCGTCACCATTGCTAAAGAGTCTGGGAATCCTTTTGGACCCTCTGCTGATGATGGAGGCTCAGGTCTCCGCCACTAGCAGAACCGCCTTTTTTCATCTGCGGCAGGCTAGACGGCTGGCCCCCTACCTGTCCAGGGACGACCTAGCTATGGTGATCCAGGCTACGGTCATCTCAAGACTGGACTACTGTAATGCCCTCTACATTGGCCTTCCTCTGTCGGTGATCCGGAAGCTCAAGCTGGTACAAAACGCAGCTGCTCGGCTTCTTGCGGGAACTCCGATGAGATGCCACATAACACCAATCTTACTGCAGCTGCATTGGTTACCAATTGAGCACCGGATCACTTTCAAAGTGATGGTACTCACCTTTAAGGCCTTGCATGGTCTGGGGCCGATGTACCTGAGGGACCGCCTCACCCCCTACCAACCCCAGAGATCCCTCCGTTCTGAGGACCAAGATCTATTGGAAATTCCCAGTGTCAAGACCTTGCGTCTAACAGCAACCAGATGCAGAGCCTTTACAGCAGTGGCACCATCACTCTGGAATACTCTGCCACCTGAAGTCCATGCCTTGCGGGATTTATCAGCTTTCCGCAGGGCATGTAAGACATATCTATTTCGATGGGCCTTTGATCTCTGATTGTTTTTAAATTGTTTTAAATTGTGTTCGATTTTAGCCTGTTCTTGTAAGCCGCTCCAAGCCCCAGGGGAGTGGCGGCATATAAGTTCAAATAATAAATAAATAAATAAATACTGAACAGGAAGATCAATGTTCAGACAGATTGAGTTTTCAGGACCCGGGCAAAGCTGTTGGTGATGGGGGATCTATAAGGTGTCTTATAGGACTGCGATTATTCACTAAGTTTCTTCTTGAAGAAACAAATAATTTTAGCAATCATTTTCTTGCTGCCAAAAAAGTCTTCAAAACCACACAATTCCTGAAGGCTACTCACAATTTAAGCCTTATTCTACTCAGATTTCAGACAAGTTTAACATAGAAAACAACATTTTCTACACAGAAAATGTGTTTTTTATGCAAATCAAACACGTGAGAATTTTGCACATTTTAAATCACTAAGTAAAGCATTTTCTATACAAGAAGTAATGTTTTTGTGTATTTTTTTCTACATAGAGAAATGCTATTTCCTATATACAAAGTGCAGTTTTCCTGAGCGAGACTACCATATAAGAATTTAGCAGAGCATAAGTCCCAAACGATGAAAATTCTTGTCAGTCTGGGATTCTTCTCATCAAGTGTTTTTCAACACTTTGAAAATGTTTTGGAATATTAGTTTTTTCCTTGGATTCGCTTATTTACAAAGTCGCTGCTACCTTGATAATAGTTGTAAACTCCTTTTTTTTTTTTGGAATAATCCAAACCTTTTATTCCACTGCAGTAGATTCTTTTTTATTGGTGAAGGTGGTGTTCAGAAAGTGGCACTGTTCCCATGAAAATTCAAACAGCTGTGCTTTTCTGTCTTCTTTTCTCTCTATGTTGGAAGGAAGCAGGCTTTGCTTGTAGCAATTCCCACTTCAATTCTACATTTTGCTTCTGCTCACATTACCTATGTATGCTCATTGAGCCTGAACTCAGCTATAACTTTTATCTCAGCCATATTGTTTTATGACGATGTCTACGACTGTGTTATGTTTTTATTATTTTTATTTGATTGATTTTAATTGTGTCTCTGTTTTTATCTGTAATTTTTGGGCTTGTCCCTTGTAAGCCCCCCAGACTCCCCTAGGGGAGATGGTAGCGGCGTATAAAATAAAGTTACTATTATTATTAGCAATAGCCATTGGTATTTTGTTTTCTCCCTCCCTTAGATGATGGGAGTTTCTGGAACTAACTCATTTGTTCATTTCCCCTCCTTTGAATACAAAGAGAATTGCAGGGATTTGCTGGAAGAACCTCTTAAGGCTTTATGTTTTAGCTGGTGACTGAAAACCTAATGATATCTTGTGCATACATAAATTCTCAATGGAAATAGTTGGACTTCCTTCTCTACTGTAGAATGTCTATATTCAATTCAAGGTTACAGAAGTGGAGTTTCACATGTGGTGCCATTGGACAAGCAGATGCACATTTGCAAAATTCCTATTCAACAAAAGAACTGTGCACCATCAGGATTGTGTAGGATATTTTGCTCTCCCAACAACACACTGAATGCAGTGGCATGGATTTCGGAAGTAAAGATTCACTGCTTCTAGCACACTACTGTAAATAATGCTGCATAAATGATTGGGATCTACTTGACAATAACTGAATCTTACTGAATATGGTGAATACAACTAACTCATCAGGGACTAAAACATTTAGGATTCAATGCTAATCAGGCTTTCTGGTGCCTACAACACATTTCAGCAGCCATCTGAGAAAATCCTCAAATAAAATATGTGATGAAGTTGTTAAGAAACCCAAAACATGCTATATATTATTTTAAATTTCTAGTTATATAGTCTTTCATCCCCTGTCTTGTCCTTAGTCTTGCATGCATAGCCTAGTTCAACAAAAACCTTGTTGCAACAGAGAGGAAGACAGTGCCCGCATGTTCCCAACAATACAAAGTAGGTCCATGCATTAGTCCTGATCTAATATGCCTTGATGACACAAGTACTATCATTTGAGATAATTTAGTCTTTTTAATCTAATTAATGCCTAAATATGTGATTCCTAAACTTTGCACCACAGGGACGCTGGTTGTATGTGGGACACTCTCACTACACAAACATTGATTTCCAGAAGACTGCAAAACATAAAACAAAACAAAAAACAAAGTCTGTTGGGCATGTGAATGACTTTGTGTTGTCAATATCTTTCACCCATGATTAACAACACACATAGAATTTCTGTGAGGAAGGTGTGATAACTGCAGAATCTTTTGGAAGGAGAGTATATAAAATAATACAGTTATAATGGATTAGACCAGTTAGATCATTAATCTGACACTGAAGGATTGGGTATCTATGGCAAAGTGTAATAAGAACTGGTAAGAGAAGGGATCATCCATGCTGTTGTTCATTTCTAGCTTGTGGTGGACACAAGGTTAATTGAATCCCACTTATCTTGGCCCATTACAGTTAATGGACCAGTCATCTTACATATAGTCATACCAATCAAGAGGGTGTTCTTATGTAATTGCCAATTAGCTGACTAGTCCAGCTGGAAGGAGCAAAGGTCTAGTGGTGCAGATGGAATTTAAAAAGACAAGCTTTCGGTGTTAGAGAAAAAGATTAAATTCTCTCAAACCCACAGAGCTTGAAAGCTCTAGAGTTTCCACAACCAATAGTCCAGTTACTGAAACACGGAGTATTGTCTTGTCTAAAATATATTTTGCAGGAGATTATGTTGTCATGGCAGTCTACTTTGACCTAAGCCGAAGGATGGGTTACTTCACTATTCAGACTTACATCCCCTGCACACTCATCGTAGTATTGTCCTGGGTTTCATTCTGGATTAATAAGGATGCTGTTCCAGCCCGAACATCTTTGGGTAAGTCAGTACTTTTCTCTCATTTGGTAATATTCTTAAAATGCTCTTACATTTCCACAGGGTTGCAGCCTTTGCTTATAGACATAGACTTTTTTTTGTTGAGTCAGGAGCGACTTGAGAAATTGCAAGTCGCTTCTGGTGTGAGAGAATTGGCCGTCTGCAAGGTGCCCAGGGGATGCCCGGATGATTTGATGTTTTTATCATCCTTGTGGGAGGCTTCTCTCATGTCCCCGCAGGAGGAGCTGGAGTTGATAGAGGGAGCTCATTCGCCTCTCCCCAGATTCGAACCTGCGACCTGTTGGTCTTCAGTCCTGCCGGCACAGGGGTTTAACCCACTGCGCCATCGGGGCTCCATGGACATAAAATATCATAAATCCAGAGATTTGTTTAGAAACATTTTTCCTTTAAGGTGTACCTATGGAATTTTTTAGGGAGAAAACATTCTAAGTAATTATATTCTTTTGAATCTTATTTAGGCTCCAGCTACAGAACTGTGGCATCCAACTACCTAATTTGTAACTATCATATATACTTGTACATAAATTGGAAATATCTGACAAAAAAAACCAAAACGTGATTTAACTTATTCATGGCGCAGTGCTCTAAATTATTTGTGCTCCCTGCTGTTTTGGATGTTTGAAGCATCCGAAGTATCAGTGGCCATTTTTATAGTGGCTTCCTGTATAAGTGTTGTCTGATTTCATATGATTTGCAGAGAGCCTACAGAAAGCATCTGTTAAAACAGCCACTACCATTTTGCTCTGCCCAAAATGACAATGCTGAATGCCATTCAAGCTGAAAAAGAATATGAAAAAGGAGGGAAGGGTTGACTTTCTTTCTCCAGTTTGGGTATGGGGCAGTGGTGGGGTGAACTACTTCTTTCCTGTGCCTCTTTTTGCTGCCATCACATTGAGTCCTTAACAGAGGTATTTATTCTTTAGACTCATTTATATTCCTTTTTGTGTTTGTATTGAAGTAGACATTTTAAGTTTATGCACACAGAGGTAATAACCCCACAAATAAACTGATATTCTCCTTCTCTTTAGCCAAGATTTGTTTGTCACCTCCCCCCCCCCCCGCCCCGCAAGTTTTATTCTGAAATTATTCATGGGTCAAAGCATGAAGTCAACAAGTATATATGGTACTTATTTGACATATTATCAGGAACCCCCAGTGCCGGCAGGACTGAAGACTGACAGGTCGGAGGTTTGAATCCAGGGAGAGCATTGATGAGCTCCCTCGGTCAGCTCCAGCTCCCCATGTGGAGACATGAAAGAAGGCTCCTACAAGGATGGTAAAAAACATCAAAAAATCTGGGAATCCCCTGGGCGATGTCCTTGCAAACAGCCAATTCTCTCACACCTGACCTGGAAAAAATTGACATACTTATAATAAAATAAATAAATAATAATAAAACTTTATTTGTATCCCGCCACCATCTCCCCAAGGGACTCGGTGTGGCTTACATGAGGCCAAGCCCACAACACATCAATAAACAAAACATCAAATAAAACAATCAATACAATACAATTCATATAAACATAACAAAAATAAGCAATAAACAATCAACAGTGACATGCAAACATGTTAAAAACCAATGGCTGGGCTAAATGTAATAGATTAAAATTAAAATAATGCTGACGTGACATGAGCATTTTTAGAGAGAATTGAGGGAACGCAGTTAGTTCTAGATCAATGGTAAAGTGCCTTTTGAGGGCATATTGCTGAGAGTTTCCTTATTCTGGGAAGGCACATGGGAACAACCACGTTTTCAGGCTCCTCCTAAAGACTGCCGAAGTTGGGGTATGTCTAATGTCACTGGGAAGTGAGTTCCAGAGTCGAGGGGTCACCACTGAGAAGGCCCTCTCCCTCGTCCCCACCAATCACGCCTGCGAAGGAGGTGGGAGCGTGAGCAGGGCCTCTCCAGGTGATCGAAGAGATCATGTGGGTTCACAGAAATGCGGTCCCAAACCGTTCAGGGCTTTGTAGGTCAAAACCTGCATCTTGAATTGGGACCAGAAAATGAACGGCAGCCAGTGGAGCTCATTAAACAGGAGGGTTGACCCTTTCCTGTAAGAAGCACCAGTTAATAACCTGGGTTACTGATATATTTAAAAGAATCCAAAAGGCTACTTTTTATTATGCTGTTGCATTAGGATCAAAATGTCTTGGTGTCCCAGTTGTATTGTATTATTCACTTTCTTTGTGAATTCAGTAGCTCCATGGTGTGAAAACAAAACTTGTGTTAGGCACTTGAGCTGTTGTGTGTATTACAATCTTGTCCTCAGATAAAATAGAAAATTCAGCTCTTTTAGTTCAGGCAGTACTTCATATGAATGTGATCCTGTGTGTGATAAACATTGCCATTAACCATATTGTGACACTTCTTGTACCTCAGGGCAGACTTGAGTGAGATGTTTACACGGTCAGTGGTCATACATAGATCTTAAGTAAAAAGAGAGCTATTTGGAAGCTCAGTTAATCAATATTTATAAATGCTTGGAGAGATTTGGAGGGAAAAGCGGCATTTGCAAAGACCCAAGGGCATTATTATGATGTATTACTCACCTTGACCAGAGGCACTGAAATACATGCTTGCCTTTCTCACAGGAATTTCACATATATCACAATTTATAGGCAAAGCTATTTGCCAACCCTGGCCAATTGAATTGAAATGTTGGTTGTTGTCATTTCCATAATCATAAAAAAAAAGAAAATCTAATTGGGAAGTAGACGGTTAATCTGGAATTAAATAACAGGGATTCAAATGAACACTTTTCCACATTGATTCATATCTAAGAGAGAAATTCATAAAATCCAGGCAGTTCTTGCTAGCTCTGGTTCAATGTGTGAACTGGCCTCATGCCTGGCATGTGTAGACTGTTAATGTAAGTAGGAATCTTGAGCTAATCAAGATTCCCTCCAACATGGAAGGAGCCGGAATTAAATGACCATAGTTACAACCCATGTTAAGGGTGGCTTTGATAAATAATATTCTGTCATTATAAATAGAAGGTAATGGTTTCTGTGGCTTATCCACATGGACTGACCTAAAATATGATAACATGAAAGAGGATAATTTGAGACTGGCCTGTGCTAGACCAGCATAAAAAATTACTTATTTACAATAGTTTCCTACTGTAATGTGATCTCCTGCAGTTTGACAGATCTCCCCACCCTCAGAATTAATCAGGCTTAATTCGTATGCTGATTTTGCATTTGTACAGTGTCCTTCGGTTTGTTCTGTTAAGTATGGGAAGAAGTGGACTGTGTGTCCTGCACAATAATATTAGTATGAAGTTTGGTACTTTTTAAACAATTTATTTTTCAGCCCATTGGGGCTATACAACTCATCAGTAGTGCATGTGCTTAATTCATCTTGAAATTCATCTTGAAATGGAGCTTCAAACTCCAGCAGCCAGACAACAAACACCAATAAAAATGCACATCAAGTAATAGAAAATAAAAACTTACAGTAAATAACGTAATACAATTTGAATTCAAATAAAAACAACTGGTGACAACACAACAATAAATTGAAGTTAGAAACGAGCTATACAAACTTATACAAAGTAAGTAAATTAGAGATGAAGAGACAGATAAAGAAGAGGATGGAGTATAGCTAGGGGGAATTCTGGCAGATATGTAGCTAGGAAATATGGGAAGTGGGTACCATTTCAAAAATCTCCAAGAGGGAGAAATCAGAACTGAATAATATAAACATTCATGCATTTGATTAACTCAACCCATATGCACTTCAGACAAAAAAAAAATTGAAATTGTACCATAGCTTAAAAAGTAAGGTATGGCAGGGAAAACCCATAGGAATCCAAAAACATGTTGGCTTCTATGAACACACTTCTGGACCTTCACAACATGACTCTTCCCCTTAGAAGTTCCTTGTCACATGTTCAGACAACATACAGAAAAATAGCAATGCCCTGTTCTAAAACTGGTCCAAATCCGTTCAGCCATGCTAGTTCAACTCTCATGCTTAACATAGTCAGGCTGAAGATCTCAAGAGGGAATCTGGTGGAAGCAAGTCCTTGATTATAGCCCTATTAGTAATTCCTGAGGGCATCCCAGAATGCTAGCAATCCTCTGGTAGAGCAGGAGGAGCTGGAGAAATAGTGTGTGCCCTATAGACTGCTTATTTATGGTTAAGCAAGAAAAAGAAGATTAATTTTGGTTTTAGAAGGATATAGTGACTGGCTGGGTGTTCTCCACCTTTTTTTTTTAAAGAAAAATACAGATGCTATACACAGATCCTCCCCCAATAAGGTTCAGCATAATAAGCAGATTAATACTTAATGCTCTGTGCATGTGGCTTTTCTTAATAGTGTCTGTTAATGTTTGAATGCAAAGTGGAAGTCTCTCATGACCAGTAGTTTTTATCAAGTAATTTCCATGCTTTGGCGGAGATAGTATGATTTTCATGTTCTTATCTTGGTTCGAAGGACCCTTACAATGAGAAAGGAGAAAGGCTGCCAACTAACTGGTTATTGTGTCATAGGCCAGTTAATTTATTTAATCACTGTGTGACCCCCTGGATGAACTTATTGGTTGCATCACATGAGACTGTCTCAACTTTTATTCATGTTATACTGTAAGTAATTCATCTTAAAAACAACTTCATTTTTTAAAAATTGTCTCTCCTTAGGTATCACAACTGTCCTGACAATGACTACTCTTAGTACAATTGCTCGCAAATCTCTTCCCAAGGTTTCTTACGTGACAGCAATGGATCTGTTTGTATCAGTGTGCTTCATTTTTGTGTTTTCTGCACTGGTGGAGTACGGGACTCTTCATTATTTTGTCAGTAACAGGAAGCCAAGCAAGGATAAAGACAAAAAGAAGAAAAACCCTGTATGTATTTTGTTACATCACAGACTATGACATTGTTTTAATTTTGTTTTCCAGACAGGAATATTTTTGTAGCCATATTGTTATGTTCCCATTAGCTCCCAATGGGACATGTTTAAAGCATCAAACCCTACAAAGTATACACGCCATAGAAAGGAGGGTGCGGGTTAGGTATCTTTAACATGCTTTAATAGTATACAATATAGTTCTTGTTGGTTGGAAGTAATGGAGCACATCATGACCATAACTGAATAACATTTTTTCTGCCAACACCAATTTATGTCATGTTCAGGCAGAGCTGGGACACATCAAGAGCCATCAACTACATTGTGTTATCAGCAGCTTCTTCTACCCAAGGACCTTAGTAGATTTTTGTCCCTTGTGGTTATCATGCAACGTGACCCATTCTTTTCCTGAAATTTTCTGAATCCTACACTTATATTGAAAGCTGAAAGGAATGGGATCAATTCGGTTACCTCCATTTGTGATACCTCTCCCATATGGGGTAGACTTTGAAGCCTACAAATACAATATGGAGGTTGTTATTTTAAATGTTGTAAGATGAAATGTCTCTTCTCGTGATTCTCTTGTCTCTCTTTATCCCCTTCCCCTTCCTTTTCCCTGACTGAACTTTCCATTTTGGTTCCCCCCCCCCTACCATTTACCATTTTAGTTTGGGGCAGAGTGTAGGAATAACTGTGACCCCCAAGATTCTGGACATTGCACTCATCATACTATATCATTGTGCAAACCGTCTAGAATGTATGGGAAGTGAAGCTTGATAAGTTCTAGAGGGCCTCAGATTTATCAGCTTCACATTATACAATCTTTTATGACAACACTGCAATAACACCTCTATTAGTACGATAGTATTCACATCTCTTAGGGTGAACCTGTACCATAGAATTAATGAAGTTTGACACCACTTTAACTGCCATGACTTAAAACTATGGAATCATCAGCACTGTAGTTACAACATCTTTAGCCTTCTTTGCTAAAGAGTGCTGATGCATCATCAAAATACAGATCCCGTGCCTCCATAGAATTGTGCCATGACGAATAAAGTGGTGTCAAAATGCATCACTTCTACAGTGTAAATGCACCTTTAGTTAGTTTTGCCTGAATGCATTTGTACTTGAGAAGCCTCATGTTTAGAATAGTTGCAGAAAATAATCAGCAAATACTAAAATCAAAACTGGTACAAAAACATTTCTTGGCTTCAACACTGCTGTATTTTTATTGTTTATTTACAGTATATGGGCATTATCTTTAAAATCATTTATATGACAATCTTTTAACAAGTCTTAAACTCAGGATGACAGGGCAATTCTTCAGGGAGATAGATAGGGTGAGACAAACAGCATCTTCTACACAGGCCCAAAATCCATGATAAGTAACGGGTTTAATGGATGTGTCCAAATGATGCCTCCAGTAAACCCAGATTTATCCAAAGTAAACTAGGTTTTCTCGGTTTGCTTTGGATTAATTAAACACCTTAATAGATCTAGACCTTAATAAAAGGTCCGAGTTTGTTGAGGTGCTGAGCCTGTGGAGACTGACTTCTGGGACTGCTTCTGCAGTCCTGGGGATGAGTTCACACAGCTATTTCTGCTTCTTCAGGCTACAAAAATGACACATCAGGAAGTAGGAGGCATGGAGGAGAAATTCCCCTCCTCCACATTCCTGATGCATCATTTCCTCATGCCAGAAGACCTGTAGAGAGAGGCCCACACTGCCAGCAGGCCTCTCTGGTAAGTTTTGTTTGACCCATGATGCCATCTAGCCACTCCTCCCAGGGAAACCCAAGGTTTGGGTGAGGGATGATGACTGAAACCCAGGAGGAAGCAGGTTGCTTTAATTCCCCTCCTTCCTCTTAGGTTTTAGTATAGTGTAAAAGGGCCCTTAGGCAAAGGTTTGTGAAATCCTTAAATCAGACTCACACTGTCTGGTTAGGGTTCGTGTGTCTTATTTTTTCTTTGTGACCGCATACTCCCAATTATACCTCTTTGGTCTATTTGGGAGGATAAATAAATACACCAGCCTCAAAGCTGGCATAGTTTTTTTCTTGGGAAAATAGGTAGTTCTTGCATACAATGTATTCAAAATATCCAGCTCCCATGTGCCCGTTTTGCAATTACAAGTGTCAGAGAACCAACAGTGGAGCTGAGAACCAACAGTGGAGCTCCTCCTCTGTCCATGGATGTCCTTATTGTGCATGGGGAGGGAGACCTTCTATGCCTCTTGTCCCTTGAGGTGCCCTTTCAATGAATTATATGATTGCAGCTTTAAACATGTAGGTTTTTTCTTTAAAAAATCTTCTGTTTGTTTTATAGGTATTTATTTCAGTTCTACTTGTTTTACCTTTGATAAACTGCCTTGAAATCATTGATGAAAGGTGGTATGTAAGTGTTCTATATAAACAGAGTTCCTTTTATTTATTTATTTTGTGATTCATTGGTGGAAAAGCATGGATGAAAATATGGGCAGTGGACTATGGTTTAGAAGCCTTGAAATGGTGTCTCTTCAAGACTACTGGGTCTTTCTCCCCAGTAGAGGAAGAGTCATCAAACAGAGCATTTGAATGGCTGGCCCACAGCGTGTTTTTATCCCAATTTGGAAATCATGCAAATCACAGGATCCTTTGTTATCAACATGTTTTAAAGTGGAATTTCACTATTTATATCTTAGATCCTTCTTATATAGTAGCCATTTTTTCAATTAAAGTTCATGTTGAAAATTCTATCTTAAATCATTTTCTATTTCTTTTCCTCCCCCAAAATTTGATATAGTTTAGAAAAGTATCTTTAATTCATGCTGCTTTTGTCTCCTTCCTCCCCTTTTTCCTTTCTTTAATTTAAAAATTCTGATTCTCTTTTCTCTGTCTACAAAATCAAAGCTTCTTCGGATGTTTTCATTCAAGGTATAAAATTTTTGGTATAGAAATCCACTGCATGTGACTGCTGAATTGAACAAATAGAGCTTCAATATAGATTTTTAGACATTTCTGCATTCTACTTGGAACAGCCTTGGAGTGAAGTAGAATGGATCACATTTAGAAATTACCATGATGTAGATTCAGCAGCCTAAACACCAGTTCACTAATGTTTTGAACTTAGAATAAGTTCAAAGGATTTTTACATGTTTGGATCGCATGAATGAAGAGAGCCTAGTAGTATACCCCAAACATCTGTGTTGCTCTCTTTTAGTTTATCCATGGGATCCAATCCAGCTACACTGAAAATCCACAATAAACCCTTTTAGAACTTGGTTCTGAGTCTTAATTATCTCATTTGAAGACATGCAAACTCTATATCTATGTAAGATCTGTATGAAACAATGAAGTACCATTTGGATATATTCTCAATATTGTTCTTATGAAAACTATTGGAGTTTTGAAAGGGTGCTTACATGTAATGCTATCACTAGGTCTTCAGACACGCTATTCAAAGTGACCAATACAAGTAGCTGTATAACAAATTCAAATATCCATCATTTAGAAATGAAGATATCTTTTTCTGGGTTTTAAAAAATATAAATTCATGGTGAATTAAATGATTTTTAAAACTAATTTTAATCATGTTTCTATCTCCAGCTTTCATTTTAAGAAGCTACTCTTTTTTATTGCTCATGTACTTAACTGCTGCTTCATGCAGCATGTCCACCAAAGGATCAGAAAAGCTTATTGGTAAAACAATATTCAAATGATTATACATACAAATGCTATTCACTGTGTTGGCATTATGAAGCTTTTGGTTGGTGAACAGCTTATTCAAAGTTGCATGTTATCAAAAATACATAGTATCAGAAATAACCATCTAACTTACATTCAAGTAATGTATCCAGTAGTATCCCCTTACCCTTAACCAGTTTTAGATTTCTACTTATATAAACATAAAGCATCAATTTCTTCACTTTTAAATTTTTATAGTGCTAATTATGATTGCTTCACTATGTCAAGTAATCTTTGAACAATGAAAAATGAATCAAGTGCATTTTAGGCTATGTTCATATTTGGAATTATACCCTGCTAAATTCCTACATTTATGGAAATGTGAATTCAAAGCACAGACACTGGGCAGTAGGTCCTCCACTTTCTGGGATTTAAGAGCCCCATGAAAGTGGGCAAAACCACAATGGAAAAAAACATTATTTTTTTAGAACCTCAGATAACACTTTTTTAGGAATCTCTAGGTTCTCCTGTATGGTCAGATTCCACCAGAATATGATCATAGAACTGCACTGGAGGACACAGAGATTCCTTGAGAGGTGTTCTCTCTGGAACTCTCTATGTTCTCCAGTGTGACATCATTTTGTCAGTGTGACCTAAATATTCATAGAGAGAGCAACTTAATCGAAACAGCAAATCATTAAAACCACAAAAGTTAAACCCACAAATGTGGAGGGCCAACTGTGTATTGTTCCAATTAAATTCAAAGTGAAATTTCTTTGTTAACATCCTTATTAATATCCTTAAGAATTTGGGGAACCCCTCTTTTGCCCATTGTGTAGAGTAGCACACTTTCACAGACCAAATACTAGTATAAATAGGACTGGCTGAAAAAAAATGCAATCATTCACTCTTTCCCTTTTTTCCGCTCTCCATGGCTCATTTGTCCTAGGCACCTACAATTGATATCCGTCCAAGGTCAGCTACTATCCAAATGAACAATGCCACACACCTCCAAGAACGGGATGAAGAATATGGGTATGAATGTCTCGATGGCAAGGACTGTGCAAGTTTTTTCTGCTGCTTTGAGGATTGCCGAACAGGAGCATGGCGGCATGGGAGGATACATATTCGCATTGCCAAAATGGACTCTTATGCCCGCATATTCTTCCCCACTGCCTTTTGTTTGTTTAACCTGGTCTACTGGGTGTCCTACCTTTACCTTTAAACAAGCAGAAAGGAAATTTGTGTCACAAGCCTTATTCTCAAAAAATGTATGAAATGGTTTCCTATACTAATTTGCTCAAATGCCATGACTTAGTGGCTGTAGTGAACATGTGGACCAACAAACACAGGGATGTTCCTGCAAGTTGGAGCCACCACCTTCTCTTCAGTTTCAGGGGGTATGCTGCAAGTGCACCAATATGCACACACACAGCATTCCCTGACATGGATGAATGAGGGCAGGTGGGAACAGGTCAACCCTAGCTCATCTAAGCTGCATTAAGCGCCAGAGTTTCATGGAACTTAGAACAGCTTTATTACACAGTGGTTTCAATTCCTTAGTGCCATAATTCAGTAAATATTAACCATAACATTGTTGGACTACTGTAAAATCATTATGGCTTGAATGCTCTCATACTATGTTTTAAGAAATTTGATACAGGCCAAACCAAGTATCAATTAGAAATCCACCAGAGAATGTGTGGGATAAGGCCCTCACAAGCTCAGTGTTTGAGTATTACAATTTTAGCTATCAATAGTCATCATTTATAATTAAGAAAGTGAAAAAAACACTGTATAGTTTGTTATCATTGATTATAAATATGTGATATATTTGGCCACTGTGGGCTTTTCTTTTTGGAAGAGTCATCTCTCAGTTCAGACCACGCTAACTAAGGGGGAAAGAGTTTTTTCTTTGCACCTGAATAAAAATTGTGTGCTTGGGTGCCCTCCTGAAGAGCGCATGTACAAATGCTGTAAATACTCCACTACCTTGTAGTGCTTGGGTCTAGTGCATGAAGACTGGGGGGGGTCAGGGGCAAACTAAATGGAATGAAGGTACCATATTCAGTATTGTCTTTCATTCTGTATCCCTGATTTTGCTACTGTAGCAGAAAAATACTGGTAAAAATCATCTTGTTTTTCAAGCAGAAAGACCATTACCACCATGCATGGGAGATTTGGACGAACAGTGCAATCCATGAGAAGGTAGACAAGCCTTAAAAAGTTGACCAAAATGACACCCATTCCATGGTACAATTCAGTAAGGCCAATATAAATAATACTTTAGTCTATAGCTTAGCTCCAGGTGTTAGCTGCTGTTTTATTCCTCACTTTCCATGTCAACTGAACCTGCAATTATTCTGTATGGCAAGATTGGCTGTGGTCTTTTGAAGCATTTGTTTGTAGTGAAGGGATTTTTCCTCACTCCAAATGCTCATCATTTGTACCTAGAATATGTTTGCTGAGATGCACGATCCATCTGAATGAACTAGAACTGAATATTGTTCTTACTGTTTGCTTTTCACATATACATTTGTTTCCCAGGCAGAAGCTGGGACATTTTCATTTGTGCCACTATATGGACCATACATTTGTGTGATAATGTTAGTGCTCCTTTTGTTTTGTTTTGTTGGTTTTTTTTAAAAAAAATCTCCCTTCTCTGTCTCTCTCTCTCTCTCTCTCTCTCTCTTTCTCTCGGGTCTCTTGGTTGTTATGTAGTCTATCACAAGCTAGCACATAGCATAGCAACCATTTTGAAACAAAAATGAAAGAGGGGGAATTGTCTTTGTTAATAAACAATATCTGCATAGTATGTGTGCTTTAAGAGACCCAGTTGGGTGAATTGTCAATGTCATTTAACTGGCTTCTTTTCAAACATCTGTGCAATGCTCAGTTATGCAAACTTAAGCACATGTAAATAAAGACTGACTTTTTTACAGTCACATACTGAGAACACAAGCTCATCTCAAGTAGGCTTGCAGCTGGGAAGGAGGAATAATCTATATATATATATTATCATTACAGAATTAATGATATTACTGATAGCCAATACAGAGACTTAAGGACAGTTTTCCAATGTCTGTATAGTTTTGGAAATAAATATGTATAGAAAGGTATAACTCTTTCCTGATCATCAACTGCTCCTTAATGTATTTTAATGAAGAAAATGCACATATCCATAGTTTTTTTTTTCCAATAAAATTGCTGCACTAAAGTTTACAGTGGGTTTTTGTGTGTCTGAATTGTATAACTAGGGTGAATCTGTGTGCATGGGTGTCTGCATGAATACTTTACCTGCAGGCACACTGATATATCCAAATGATTTTTTTTTTAAAAAACCTCGATCTTTGTTTATAGGACTCTCTTTCTCTCTTTTCTTTCCCCCATTTCATATTCAAAGCAATAAAAGACCATAGTTTTTTATTTGAACTTTTAAATCATGTATGCTTAATTGAATGCATGTAAAACCTCTTAGTAAAGCCTCTGCAGAGGTTGTTATGTGTACAACCATCTCTAGGACTGAATAATATGTGGATTTATTTTATCAACTTCTCACACCATCATTTTATAAATGAATTTCTACATTCAAAAAAATATCTGAAGACAGACTATTCCATGCAGAGTTCATATAATGCCATAGGCAGCGTGACATATGGCTCGCTTAGCATTCTCGGTCAGTTTGTTTCCTCCACTTTGATCCATCTCAAGGGACCTCCCTATTGCAGAAGAATAATTTTAAGTTAATCTTATAGAAACTGTGAGTACTGGAAATTTAGCAATGATTCCTCTTCAGCAAGAAAATTAATAATGTTGAACAGATTCATTGGCCCATGCCAGTATGTGGAACCTGTTCTGAAAATAGAGCTCAGCACCTTGTATATTTCCTTTATAGTTTGGTCTAAAACTTGAATTGCATGCACAACTTCCCTATTGGCATAATAGGGTAGTTGTGCATCCAATTCCAACAGCTCTCACTGATGCATGCAATGTGGTGAAGTCACATTGAGTTTCTCACATGTAATAGAATGGGCATATGTTTTTACAAGGGTTTCTGGGTCTATAACAATTTTGCTATACATTTATGGGAAAACCTGTGTGGATTCAGGCAAATCAAGGTGGACAGTTCCCTGAAATCTGGACATTAAAATGACACCAAAGAAATGAAAAGCTTGACAAATTTATTTTCATCCATGTGTTGAGGCTGCTGTTTTGTAAAGAAGGGCTTGCACCAGCATGTCTGAAATCAGCTTTAACACATTGAACATTATTTAATGGGATAGAGCTATGTTTTTTTTAATGAATCAGGAAATGTGAACTGAAATGAAGTTATTCATTCCTACTTTACTTGGATACCACACATCCAGTCATCTTTCACCAATCAATAAACAGCTTGGAGCTTAGCTGATATTGCTTTCACCAATTTTATGAAGGAACATGAAGTCATGAGCATGGACTGATGCTTTTCTCATATTGTACTCATAGCTTTCCATTTGGACAGACACTCCCAACCTGGAAAAGATGATTGAGAAATACCTCTCTTCCAGTTCATTCGTATTCAGCACTGACTCAGTTTTCATTGACGTTTTAACGTGCTTACCCAATACATACATTATTATATTCACTGTTGTTTGCCTCAGATCTACAAGTATATCTAGATTTTTCAGATTTTATATGACACACTATTTTGTCTTGTCATTTTCATATCCAGAACCGTTTGAGTGGGGCTATGTCAATGTAAACTATAAAATAAATTAAAATACATCTAAGTAATGTGACCAAACATTGGTTTTGACACATTTCTTCCAATAATCAAACAATAAGAAACACAATCTTCAGGTGCATTCCAAAGCTTAAATCTGGATCTTCAGAAGATCTTTCTTGCTAAGTAGCATGATTTGTTCTAAGTCAGACCAATTATCCTTATAGTTCATTCTTTCCTAGTTTGCAGGTTGTTCTGTAATTGTTGCTGATCTTTTATAATTTGAAAAAAAAACCAGCAACTAATCATGTTTCCCACCTTGTCCAGATTAATTTATCACCTTTACTGGCAAGGCAAATCAATTTACTTAATGTGGGATCTTGTTATTCAAAATCTGGAAGCTGATCCTAAAGTTGAAGATCTCGTTTTGGGTCTAAATATTCATGTCTCCACAATCTTGCTGAATTTCTAATGGAATACATGCTAGTAGATCTAGTCTCACCACCCCAATTGAATTTGGGATAATTTGGACTTGATTCAGTCAGGGTTTAATTCATATCTGAATCAGACAAGAAAAACCCCTGTTGGTTCTATAGGACCTATCAGTAGATTTTGATAACATTGACTATGGTATCATTCTGGTTTGCCTTTCTGGAATGGGAGTCGGAGGCACCATTTTATGATAGCTTATAACCTTCCTAGGGAAATGAGTTCAGAATGTGGTGCTGGAGGATTCCTGTTGAACATCCTGGCTATTGCCCCATGCTTCTGTTTCATTCACTATGCTATTTTAAATATACATGAAACTGCTTGGAGGAGTTTTATGGTGATCTGGGATTCAGTTCCACACTACACTCTGTGTTTCTACTCCACCTAATCCCAAGGAAAGTGTAAATCCCTGTTTGATGTCAGCAATAGACTTACATGTATCTTCAACCCATTCTGATGAATGGTAATCTTAAAATGACCCTATCATATCATTTTCAAAGCAAGGTTTGTTCAGATGGTGTCTGCCATTGCCTTCTTCTGGGGCAGAGAGAGTGAGACTTGCCTAAGATCACCCAGTGGGATTCTATGGTTGATTCAAACACTGGCCTTCCAGAGTTCAGCATTCAAACCACTACATCACATTGGTTATCTAATAAATTGGATGATGGTAAACAAATAGAAGCATAATCCAGGCAAGACAGAGATGTGCTTGATCAGTCAAAAGGCAGACTTAAAAAAGGGAATCAACCTGTTCTAGACACAGTTATGCCACCCCTGAGAACAGTTTCACAGTTTGGAGAAACACCTATTGACCCTGGACTTGGAATGCCCAGATGTCTGCAGTAGTGCATTTATATAGTTAAAATAGTTCACCAATATTTTCCATTATTAAAGAGGCCAGATCTCGTCCAAATGATATATGCCTTAGACACTGCCTTTAGATTACCCTAAAACAGTATATAGACGTTGCCTCTGGAAACTGCTCAGAAACTGCAATCTAGCAGTTAACTTGGACTGGTCACAAGAAGTATACAACTCTCTTCTCACAACAATTCTACTGGCTACTTATATATTTCTGGCACAATGTAAACTTTTATATGTTTGTCTCAGTATTGAAATCTTGAAAAGATATTTCCCCCTTCATCCCCCAGTCCTCATAGACATCTTTCATAGGTTTTATTTATTTATCGTGTCAGGCAACCAGACAATTGTATTACATTTCTAACAGAACAAAACAAACAAAGAGACAAAACACAAAATTTGTAAGCTTGGTAGTTGATTAAATGTCCTTTGACCAGTATCTGGCCACTTGGAGTGCTTCCGGTGTTGCTGCAAGAAGGTCCTCCATTGTGCATGTAGGAGGGCTCAGGTTGCATTACAGTAGATGGTCAGTGGTTTGCTCTTCTCCACACTCGCATGTTGTGGATTCCACTTTGTAGCCCCATTTCTTAAGATTGGCTCTGCATCTTGTGGTGCCAGAGCGCAGTCTGTTCAGTGCCTTCCAAGTTGCCCAGTCTTTTGTGTGCCCAGGGTGGAGTCTTTCATTTGATATCAGCTATTGGTTGAGGTTCTGGGTTTGAGCCTGCCACTTTTGAACTCTCGCTTGCTGGGGTGTTACAGCGAGTGTCTCTGTAGATCTTAGAAAACTATTTCTTGATTTAAGTCATTGACATGCTGGCTGATACCCAAACAAGGGATGAGCTGGAGATGTCACTGCCTTGGCCCTTTCACTATTGGCTGCTACTTCTTTCATAGGTACATGAGAGACAATCTTCTTGGAGGTTAGGTTCTTGTGGTTTTTTCGGGCTATAGGGCCATGTTCTAGAGGCATTTCTCCTGACGTTTCGCCTGCATCTATGGCAAGCATCCTCTGAGGATGCTTACCATAGATGCAGGCAAAACGTCAGGAGAAATGCCTCTAGAACATGGCCCTATAGCCCGAAAAAAACCACAAGAACCTAGTGATTCCAGCCATGAAAGCCTTCGACAATACATTGAACTTCTTGGAGGTTGCTTCTATGCTCTTGAATTCCTTTTGTAGGGGGGCTAAAATAACCCACATCTTGCACCATTATTGTGTTCTAACACTGTTATTCAAATGAGCTCTCTGTATGGTGACACATATGTATTTCATAGTTCAAGATTATCAGCTACTGTATGTATCTTGCATTTAGCATGTTTTGTTTAGCTCTTGGCCATTAGAAAATAAATATGGCTTCATTTGTGGGTCTGATTGATGATCTCTTAAAAACTGTTCGAGAGAAGTGGGTTAATCACAATAAATGCACATTCTCTGTGGCATCTAATTTAATTCTGACTTTATACAAATCAGCTCCTTGCAGAGTTCGTTGCTTTGTTAACACACACAGAGAATATAGGGATAGGATCAGTATACAGCAAAATCATTATGAATTATAAGGGACTGACATATTCTCTAGGTGGCATACCTTACCACACGGACACACACACACACACCACTATCATGCAAGTTTCAGTTTTTTCTTGGTAGCTTTTAAAATAAGAACAGACTATTTTGTGAAAGCTCCCCAGGGACTTCAGGTTGTTAACACCCTAGCTGCTAGCAACCTAGGCATACAATTCCCATCAAATAGTTGTAGTACATCTATCTGACAGGTGATAGATAGCTGTGTGGATAACAAAACTTTTTGTTAAACTGGCATAGCAGTCCAACCTTGTTCTTGCTCAATTTAAGGTAATGAGGGTTGGCTTAAAATATCCAGCTTTATGACAAGACCCCTAAGGATATAAAACCACTTTGAGCCTCTGCATTAATGAGCACACAAATATGTATCACAGTTTCATGCTTTGGGAATGAAAATGGCTGAAAAGTAGAACTTTGTCAAATTCCTCTGTGAACGTATGATAGAACTTGCACTAAGTGGCGGATGGGATTCCACAAATCAGTAGAACAAAAGCACTACTAGCTGACGAATGGAAAATACTGCCTGTCAAGGTAATAATATAATTAGCCCAAGAACATTAAAATGCTGGGCAGCTTGTGTTTG